CCCCCCCCCCCCCGCCTCACAGCTACTGAGAGCCCGGAAGGCGCATGCGCGTTGCCAGCCCTGCCCGTAGGGCCAGAGCGAGAGGGAGTGACCACAGAGAGCGCGCTGCTGCCGGGCCAGAGGGGCCCCCATTGCTCCGGAAGTGATGCGTTGAGGTGCCGCTCTGTCTTGTGCTGGAGAGCACTCTATGGCTTTAGTCCTCCAGTGGTTTCCCTCTGGGGTGGGAGATGTTGGTGTTGTGCTCATCGAGTTAATCACGCACACCCCCACACTGACACCTTTTCCCCAAAAAGATACATGCTGTATATATATAGATGAACACATGAAAAGGCAATGGAAAACTGCACGTGCAAATGTAACACAAATGAGTGAGGGGTGAGGGGACAACACTTGTATGTGAGGAAGGGCTGCTGCCATCATGGCGTGTGGAGCTGGTGCTCATGAGGGGAGTTCCTGTTATTTACTACTTTATGCCTTTCTGGGCATGTCTTTTTTTCTACCTACAAAATGAATCAGGAAGAGAAATAGTGTGGCAGAAGCAGGGTTCTGTGATCCCCTAAGCTGTTTCCATCCCTCTGGCCATGGAGAAATCAGACCATGGTCAAGCAGCCAGAGCCTGAAAATAATTTTAATTTTAATTTTAATAGTTATGATAATTCTAATCGTAACTACCTGGTTAATTTTTAACAAGGCAGGCAGGAGTGGTGATTGTAATCAGACAAATTCCTTATGTAAGAGTTCAGCTTCAAACTCTTTCCTTTTACCTGATCTCAGGATTATTTTTTTTAATGTCAACAACTGTTAAAATGATACCTAATTTGTGCCCTTTGGCAATGACGAATTGTTCGAAGTAAAGAGTAGCAGTCCTCAGATTTCCTAATGCTCTCAGAGACTGATCCTGCACCCTTCTGTTTAAATATGAAGGTTGTCTTTGCAGTATAAGGCGTAACTAACTACTAAAAAGATCCAATAGTTTTAACTGGTTAAGTGAAATGAATGTTTATGTGATACAAGATGCTTCAGCTCATGGAATTGCTTAGCTATGAAATACGATGGAGAAAAACATCCTAGAGTTAAAAACAAAAGTTAAAGGGCAGTTATTGTAAAAGAAGGCCATCATTTTCAGGTTACCCAGATTATCACAGAAACACAGAGTCACAGAATCACCAAAGTTGGAAGAGACCTCCTGATCCATTCCAACCATCCACCTACCATCAATATTTCCCCACAAAACTGTGTCCCTTAGTGACACATCTAAACATTTCTTGAAGACCCTTAGGGACAGTGACTCCCCCCACCTGCCTGGGCAGCCATTCCAGTGCCTGACCACTAGTTCAGAGAAGAAATTGTTCCTAATATACAACCTGAACCTCCTCTAGTGCAACTTGAAGCCATTCCCCCAAAGTGTGAAGGAAGTCAGTTCAAAGGATGCTGACAAAAATATTATCAAATTTTCTAACAGCTCTTCAAGCTGATGGTAAAGAAGTGGGAACTGTTTGTGGTAGCTCCGGACTTGACAAAAGTGGTATGCATATTGTCACGAATTGTCATGCATGATAATGATATTGAAATGATCACTTGAAGACCTACCTATAGATGTTAAAGTGAGAAGTAATTGTATTTGAGTGCCACTTCTATGTAACTTCACTTTAATTAGTGCTTTAATTGCCAAGGTGCTGTTTTCATTGATTTCATTACTCATCATTTCGTTGTTTATAGTGTTGTTTCTTTTACTTTATTGTAGACACGATGTTGAGAATCCACCTGATAAAATCCTTCAATTCAGAAAACATCAACACAAAAGTGAAAAATGCCACGCAGAGACAATATGCAACAGCCACTTAACCTCTGATGGGGATAAGAAGTTAATGGGTAGTCAAGAGGATTTAAAATCAGCAGTGCTTTCTGAAGAGCTGCAAGCCACAGTGAAGGACAAGCAGAGACCCAGGTCTGGTCTCATTGTCAGAGGCGTGATGGCTGGACCAGGAGCAAGTTCTCCAGAGGTGATTTTTAACCCTTCCAAATCATAAATCATAGAATCACCAAGGTTGGAAAAGACCTCCAAGATCATCCAGTCCAACCATCCACCTACCACCAGCATTTCACCACTAAACCACTGTTGTCCCTTAGTACAACATCTAGCTGCTTCTTGAACACGATAAAGTACTGGGCATGACCAGAGACTTTGAATATGACCTTCTGATATGAAGTAATTTGTGAAGAATTAACTTATTAACTTATAATAACTTAATATTACTTCTTCATGCTAATCCATTAAATCTGCATTATGAAAAGATGGGCTGATTTGCGGCAGTGGTTTTGTTAATTCAGAAATTCAAGCTGTTTCAGGAACAGCCGCTGCACACAGATCTGTGATCTTTCATTACAGCATTTCTTTATTAAGTCTTCTCCATTTTTGATATCACATCTCTCTTGAGAGCTGAGATTTTCCATTTTCCTCAGGAAATTGCTTCTTTACCTCAGAAGTGTCTACAGCTCCTCAAGTGGGCACCTGATTTCCTCAGGTTTTTCTGAAACCCCACGTTTAATCATTAGCTTTGGACTTAGAAAACAAGGTTTCTAAACTTGTCCAAATGAGATATATTTCATCAGTAGGTGTTTTTAAAACTCAATTCCAAAAATATTTTCTCTCTCTTTTTTTTCTTTCACGCTTCTTTCATATAGACAGGAGCTTCCCCTGTGTCCAATCAAGCTTATAAAAATGAGAAAATGAAGTATTTTAAACATTATATTTGGCTAATACTGAAGCAAATATTGAAAGTTAAATTAATTGCATTTTTCTAAAGAGTTTTGGTTCAGGAAAAAAAGGATTAGATACCTTTAACAGCCAGTCTTGGCAGTAAAATATCATATATGTCTTGACGTTCTCTGAATACAACCCCAAAATAATGTTTTTATGACTTTTTTTGTTGATGTCCCTGGGTAAAAGAAAGTTTTTACAGTATATAGCATCTGTAGTACTGTTCAGATTTTAAGTAAGAATATATATCTGCTCCTATATTATCCAGAAGAGTTACCTGATTTACTCTTTAACCTGATTCCTAATAATGAAGAAATTGTCTAGCTCCGTAGCTACTTGATAGAGTTGTTTTGTTTTTTAGCTTTCCACATTTATGTAAAAGTCGTCAAATCTTAATGTATGGTTTTAATGGCATTTCTTTGCAGGATCAGCAGAGAAGGAGGTCAAAACGCTCCACCAGCATCAGTAGCACAGCAGTGCTCAAGGGTGAAAAACACGAAGAAAACGACCTGAGTGCCCCAAAAGTCGATTCCCAAGAAAATAAAGGATGCTCAGCACAAGTAAACCCAGAGATTGCCTCAAGGACTTTGTCAAGTTCACATGTGAGTTCAGCTTCCGAAAAACTAAGGACCATCTCCAAGGAAACGTGTGACTCCTTTATCAAACTGCTGTCTGAAAGAGGGAGGACCAGGATGGAGGAAAGAAAATCAGTGCCAAGCTTTTGTACAGACAGCGGTGAGAAAAGCCTCAAAGTCAGTGCCCTGCACAGACATTCAGGGACTGGAAGGGAGAAGAGAGAAAGGGCCCTCAAGAAAAGTGAGAGCTGGTTATCAGGCCACAGGTAAGACTATGTGTAAGAAAGTGGTAGTAAGAAGTTAGAAGAAAGTATGATGAAGGTCTAAAAGAGATTGAGATTTTTTGAGGGGAATCAAAGGCAAGAGGTGAAAATACTGAAAGGGAGAAGATTTTTCAGAGTTAACTTGCTAATTTTGACATCCCAAACCAGTCAGGTTTCCTTTCCTTGTCACTGTAGAGACCCCATAGCTGCTGGTTTCTCTGCTGCACATGAGGGTAGCTGAGGGCTACTAGCTCAAACTCAGACCCTGCCACGTGTAACATAAGAAGTTTGCTCCCACCTGCAGAGTCATCTATGTCTTAAGAAACAGCGTTAATTACCACTGCAGTACTGTGCTCTATCGCTGTTGTAAGTAGCTTGCACTAGAATCCTTCAGAGGACTTGGTCTCAACAAGAGCAGAAGAGGGAGCTATTTCCTCAGCAGAGTCCATTTAAATCGTTCTCAAAGCAAAAGTGGGATGGCCCTGCCGGATGACTTATAGCCAGCAAAGGGTTTGAATTCATGCTGAGCTCTGGGCTCATGAAAACTCTCACTGGAATCAGCGGGACTGCTGACACTCCTGAAGTTAAGTGGAAGTAACAGAGAGTGGAAGTGAGACTCCAAATAAACACCAATACAAAGTAAGGACTGGCTCTTGCAAAGCTTCTGTCCCTTTGGCAAAGTCCTGTGCTGTTTCAGAGCTCTTTGAGCATTTTGAGGCATAAATATATGCAATATAAGAGCACGTATTTATCTCAGTCCTCTTCCATTCTCAGTTACTGCTTCCTGACTCCAGTGACAGAAGTGCTAATCTAAATGCTGACAATCTATTTAGGTTTAAACGCAGTTTGTTCATTTGCAGGCATCTGAAATTTCATTCCTGTTCCTCATAGATAAAGCCAGACAAATCTCGTTTTTCCTTCCATTTTGCTCTCCTTTTTCATTTCTTTTGGTACTGTGCAAAATGTGCTGCTCTTGCATGCAGGCTGCAAGCATCCCTTGTCTCCTTAGGAAAAAAACAAACCAACCAGCAAAAAACCCAAAGCAAAATGCTGCCATCCTTCAAAAGTCCAGCTGAATGGGACTGAATGCATGCCTACAAATGGAGTGAGCAGAAATACCTAACTGCAGAAATACAGATCCCACAGTATTTTGACTCACATGTTTTAAGGAAAGAAATGATGGGCATCAAACTGTGCTTGTTGTTCCATCAACACTCTGATTCTTGGCTGCTGCCTGAAGTGTGTGTGGAAGGGGGTGGCAGTGTTGAGAGGCCAGATTTGGGACTTTGTATTTTGATCTTAAACTATTGACGTGAAATTAGACTTCTGAGTACCGGAGTCCGCAGCTTTGTTCTAAATAAGATTTGGAGGATCTTTGGTTTTGGTTCTAATAGATGAAATTTTGCTGTTTTGTCAGTAAGGTGGCATTAAGCATGGAGCTTTCAAAATGGCAGACCAGCCCACCAACACAGATATGGAAATGAATAAACAAAAGAAAAAAGGAAAAAAACAAAAAGAAAAAACCCTCTTGCCTTTCTGGTGTTTCTTTTTAGAGTAAAATGAAAAAAAAATGTAGTGAAGTCAGTTAGAGACTGATGATACAGATGCAGTCTCTGCTTATGTTTTGAAATGCTTTAGCTGGGAGCATCTGCTTTCAAATTCAGATATCTCTAAGGATGGCTTAGAAGTTCAGTGTTTAACTGCAGACATTACCTAATTGCTCTCAGCTGGGATAAAATACTGACTTTTAATATGAAAGCACGTGTTACCTTTTCAGATATACTCTGAACTTAATGCTGATCTCTGTGCAGACGTGTTCCCATTACACAGTGAGCATACCACATGCCTTTCACTGCAAAGACAGATGTGAAGAGCAATTTGTTCATCTTCCTCTTCAGTTGTGTACCTCACAAGATATCTGAATCCCTCCTCATAAAAGGGAGAATAATGATTGCAAATAATTAAAAGCAAAGGATCTGTTTTCTTCCTTGTTTTATAGGGGAGCAGAAGCTTCTGTGCTGTTAGGATGGTGATACTCCTCTGTGTCATTACTGGATTCTGTTTCATGTCAGTAGGAGTTATTCCCTAAAGGCAGTGTGTTGTACAGTGATAGTACTTAGCAATACCTACTAATAGTTAACAGTACTTACTTTAATTAGCAGTATGCTGTACAGCCTGCATACGTACCAGGTGCAATTGTAGTAAATGCCTTTATTTTAGAACTCCTTATGTTTAATTAACCCAGAAGGGAGCAGTATATAGGTGGCAGCAAATTATCAGGCATCCTTCGCCGTAAGCAAACAGCAGCAAACGTGGTCTCTCAATTCATCCTGCTTTGATTATTGCACTCTTTGCAGAGCTGTTGGGAGGCACTGGGGATTATTACGAGAGCAGTATTTCAATATTAGTTTCAAACTGGTTTTCCTCAGGAGTCAGATGTCTCACTTTTCATGTTCTGAGGCTTTTGCTTTTAATAGCTTAGGTGTAATGCTTCAGTGGCCATGGTGTGTTTCTGCTTTTCTGTCTGTACAAAAATACATGAATTAAATCTGCAGAGGTAATGGTTTGCTTTAACGGAGAAGTAATTAATAGTGAATCAGATTGTGATGCTTGGTCATGCAGGAGCTGAGTTTTATAAACTCATATACAGTGTGCAGAACTATTATTGAATGTAGAACCTTCTATTGTAAGGACTTAACAGATTGAAAATTATGTTTTGTTTCAGATCCACTTCAGTGAGGAATCTGAAACCCCATCCATCCTTTCAGGTGGTTTTGATGCATTCTCAAAGCAGTATTTCTTACTGTTCAACAATTCCTTGACCCCTCGTTCTCTGTTTGGTGATACATATTTTCCTGCTGGAGGTGATTCAGCATTAAGCAGAGGATATTTGAGGTGGCAGAGACTGTTCTCTGGGAAGTGTGAGCTGTGCACAAGTAGAATTTGGATGACCCATCACTTTTTTTTTTTGACTCTGAGGTTTTCATGGGACTAAAAAAAAAAATATTTAAAAAAAATACGTAATGTTAACGAACAATCCAAGAATCCAGCTGAAAAATTACTGTACCCATAGTTATTATTCTGATCTTACCAGTTCCATGGGAATAGATGAGGTTGAAGGAACACATTCAGATAAAAGGCAGCAAATGGAGTTTTTTCGGCTGGGCAGAACGTTGAATGGCTGCGAGGAATGATTCTCTGCCACCTCAAATATCCTCTGCTTAATGCTGAATCACCTCCAGCAGGGAAATATGTATCACCAAACAGAGTGCACAGAATAAAGAATGAGGATCTGTGGTGGAATGGAATTTGTGATCTTTGGGAACTGTGAAAAAAAAGAATAGCTGTTGTATTTAACACTTGGCCTTGGATTAAAATCATCCTCTTGCTTTTCCAGGAAAAGCCTGATGAATAATGAGTACTTTGTGAAGGTTAAATGGTGTTAGAAGGTTTTCCCGTGTTTCACAGCTTGAGCAAGCAAAACTGGTCAAAAAGAACTTCATAGCAGCTGAGGAACAATTCTGTTATCTCAGCTACAGACCTGCTACTCCTGTTGCTCATATGACCTCGGAATCTAAAGTACACTTCTAGTTTTCCATTCTCTTTAGCTATCCAAATGTAAGGCTTGGTGGTGATGTGGAAACCCTCCCATTCTCAGCTGAATAGTTTCTGAACAGGTCGATGTGGGCTGGCCAGCTGTGTTCTCACTGGGTACTACTGGCACCATCTTATGCTGAGTGCAATTAGCAGCCTGGATCTGAAGTTAAGGACATGTGGTTAATTTCATAAAATCATGGTAGAATGGCTGAGGTTAGAGGAGACCTTAAAGTCATCAAGCTCCAAGCCCCTGCTGTGGGCTGGGTTGCAAACCACTACATCTGGCTGCCCTCACTTCATAGAAACAAAGAGGGAATGGCTGTCAGAAAGGCAAATAAATGAAAATACCTTATCCGTAGATCCCATTGTCCAAAACAAGAGATTTATAAAGCACTTTCAAGAGTGAGGAAGACAACTGATTCTCCACTCAGCATTTGTTTGCGAGGTCCCCCTTGCTATCCAGTTCTTCTAATTGCTTCTGCTCTACTCTCCATCGCCTTGCCCCCAGGCTTGGCTGCAAACTGAATGTGAGCCAGTGGTTTCCTTTCCAAAGTCTGCCAGTGCAGATGGATATTTCTGACAGTAGGGACTTTTTATTACTGTGTGGCTTGGCCTCAAGATGCCTTTTCCAACCAAAACCTAAGGAACTCAGCTGCACTTCATTTCTACCACCAGCAGATCAAGTACCTGTGAGTCCAGAGCCAGAATTTCTCTTCCTGAAGCGGTCTCTCAACCAACTTTTTGCTTTAGGTGGCAGTCTTCAGTGGTTCCCAAAATATCCCTCATTGTTTAGAAAAAAAGCCCTTTTCTAGCAGTGCTCTGCATGCAAACAAAATAGAGTAGGGTTAGTGAATTGCCATAGATACCAAGTTCTTTAGTGCAACATTACTCATATTTCACAGAACCATAGAAACTACAGATGGAAAAGACCTTTCAAGGTCATTTGCTTCTATGACAGATTATTCATTACTATATATAAAATTTGATGTAATACTTTCTTCCAAGACTTCGTCTAGTCCACTCTTAAGTGGTTCAAGTGACACCTCTCCCCTGAGAATGCATTTCAGTGTCTAGTAGCCTTAATCTAGGGAATTTTTCCTTTACATTCCTCCAGGATTTGTTTTCCGCCCTGTTATCCAACTTGAAGTTGCTTTTCTGACTGATGTTTCTGCTACAGATATTCACCACTGTTAAAGTACTTCTAAATACTCTTTGTTCTCTTTCAGACTTTTTTTTTGGTCTAAACCTGCTATTGTCTGCTTGCATTTTTATCTCTTCTGCTCTGATTTTTTTGCTGTTGTTTTTCTGTGAGGATTTAGGATTTAGTGGTGTAACCTGCTTTTAGCAGAGGGGTTGGACTAAGTGAGCTCTGCAGGTACCTTCTCAGCTATGACTCATGACTGAAA